AACATAAACCTTTTATAGTTAAACTGTTATCCAAAAAAGTTTATAACACTATCAGGAATATATTACCCTGCTAGCTTTATTTCATCTTTCAAGTATTTTATGTTAACAGCACTGCATGGTATTTATTTATCAGCTCAATGGTACATTTTCTTCCAGAGCAATATATTCAAGTAGAAGGAACTACCATAACTCTATGATTAATAACTAAAAGGAAATGAGTATTTATAGTATTTCTGTAAGTCAAATCTTGGCAGTGAATCAAATTTCTAAATAAATATGTCCTTGGTCATATAATTCCTCCTTTAGAAAGAATCAGTTATTTGTCAAATATTCATCTGTAAATATATTTCATAATTAGCTGAAATACCATAAAGTGCCCTGTTTAATTTGCAAAAGCAGCAACAAAGACAATGTGATCAAAGCCATTATAATCAGACAGCAAAGATTTAAGAAGTCCTAAAAATTCTCCTAAAATTAAAATGCCAACTCATTTGCAGGAATCCAGGAGATACAACTAATCTCAAAAAGGAGGGGCTTTAAGATAGTGACATCTCAGCAGCTCTAGTCTTCAACAAATCCAAACAGAAAGCAAGACAACCATCAGTGTTTCTTGAGAAACCACTATGAGCCAGATACTTTTCAGTTTTTCCTCATTAATACTTAAGAATTTCATGAAACAACGTAAGAGCAAGAGCCTGTGGTGATGAAGGAAGAAGTTCAAACAGCTTTGAAAGAATTGGCTAAAAATAAGGCCCCAGGAATTGATTGTATACCAACTGACATATTTCAAGTAACGGATGCTGCCCTAGATGGGCTCAGCAAGTTGTACCAAGAAATCTGGAGGACAACCACTTGGCCAATTGACTGGAAGAGACCTATAATTGTTCCCATTCCAAAGTAAGGTGGTCCAACAGTGTGGAAATTATCAAACTGTATCATTAATATCACATGCAAACAAGATTCTGCTGATTATACAACAACAACCGGGACAGCACATCAACAGAGAACTGCCAGAAGTGCAAGCTGGGTTTGGAAGGGGTTGTGGTACTAGGGATACTGTGGCTAATGGACCAGGAGGCAGTGGTCAGAACAAAGCAAGGAAACAATGCATGGTTCAAAATTGGGAAGGGTGTACGTCAGGGCTGTATCCTGTCTCCATACCTTTTTAATCTTTATGCAGAACAGGTTATCCGAGAAGCTGGGCTCTATGAAGAGAAATGTGGCATCAGGATTGGAGCAAGAATCAACAATCTGTGTTACACAGATGACACAACCTTGCTTGCTGAAACTAAGAAGGACCTGAAGCACTTGCTGTGGAAGGTCAGGGACTGCAGTCTTCAGTATGGATTGAGACTCAATATCAAGAAAACAAAGATTCTCACCACTGGGACGATGGATAGTGAAGAGATTGAGATTGTTCACAGTTTTGGTTTGTTTGGATCCACAGTGAACACTCTTGGCACCAGCAGCCAGGAAATTAAAAGATGTGTGGTTAGAGACCTCTCTAAAGTACTTAAGAGCAACAATGTCAGTCTGGAGACTAAGGTGCGCCTGATACACGCCATGGTCTTTGCAATCACTTTCTATGCATCAGAGCACTGGACAGTGACTAGCGATGATAGAAGGAAAATTGATGCCTTTGAGCTGTGGTGTTGGAGAAGTGTACTGAACAAACAGGTCTGTCCTGGAGAGGGTGAAGCCAGGCTTCTCCTTGAAGACAAGGATTCTGAAGCTTCATCTGACATACTGTGGACATGATGCAAGGAGTGACCAGTCCTTGGAGAGGGACTTTATGCTTGGGAGGGTGGAGGGACAGTGCAAGAGAGGAAGACTCTCTATGAGGTGGACTGATTCAGTGACTAGGGTAATGGGGTTAGGTGTGTCATAAACAATAAGACTGGCACAGGATAGAGCAGAGTTTAGGGCTATTGTACTCAGGGTCACTCTGAGTCACAGGCAACTCGAAAGCACATAAACAACAACAGTGATCTTTAAGAACTCAAAGGGTCATTTAGTATGTACCGTTATTATCCCAAGCGGCCATATGGCTTTTGCTCAACTGATAACTAAAAAGGTGACAGTATAAACCCACTCAGGGGAACCAGTAAAAAATATTATTTCAATCAAAGGTCATTTCTTAACCTTGCTGTTCTAATATTAAGAGTTCCAAGTTTTATGGATGATCATAATTTTTCACGTTCAATACTATTAATTACTGAGTTGACTGCACATTAGAATTTGAAGACAGACAATTCTTATTTCCTACCATCAGTAAAGTTTAAAATCTAATCCACAAGCAAAAATTATTCTGCTGAGCTACTTTCCACTCATGGCTATGCACATGAGTCAGAGCTTTCAGTGGTTAATTTTTCCAAAGATCACCAACTTTTTCTTCCAAGGCAGCCCTGGACAGACATAAATCTCCAACTTTTCAGTGAGCCGCTCAGTATCTTTACTGTTTGCACCACCCTGAGACTCTTGAAATCGAAAGGGGTCTCTAAGTAACAACAGACACAAAGCTCAAACCTGACTACGAAATCCCTCAACCCAGCCTAAATTAAGGAGGCTAAAGGAAAAAATAATCACCAAGGCTAACTCTGTTCCTGACTATAACCCACCTTTAGTTAGCAATCTTTCCAGTAGTATTACAAGAAGAGCTGTGCAGACAAATGTAAACCTAAAAAGGATAAAGCAATGTTGTTGTTATGTGCAGTCAGGTCACTTGCAACTCAGTCACCCTATGCACAATGGCCCTGAACCCCGCTCTATCCTCTGCCAACTTTACAGTCTCTGATATACCTACCCTCATTACTCCAGTCACTGAGTCAATCCATCTCATTGATGGTATTCCTCTCTTGTGCTGGCCCTCTAGCCTCCCAAGCATAAAGTACCTCTCCAAGGACTGGTACCGCCTTGCAACATGCCAATGGATCAAGCAAGAGCTTCAAGTATATGTATGTGTGTGTGCGTGTGTATGTATGTGTGTGTGTGTGTGTGTGTGTGTGTGTGTGTGTATGTTTTTTTTTTTTTTAAAGGCCACGACAGAAACTGCTTTCTGGCACAATGTATTTCAATACCTGAAGTCACTGAGTACTATGTTCTTGAAAGCATATAAAGATGGTACATTTTAATACATTCTTTTAAAGGCAGTAACATCTTTGTAGTTGGGGGTACTGGAAGTATGAGGGAGCACTTATTTGCAGATTAAATAGACAAAGAAAGTTATCTTCTCCAGTTAATGTTGTGTTGTTGTTATGTGCCATCATGACTCATAATGACTCTATGTATAATAGCATTAATTTTTAAAAAAACGACACACTGAAAACAGCAAATAAAAAAGGAAAAAGAAAACTGCTTTCAATAAATGGCAAAAAGTAAAACAAAGACTGAAAACAATCAGAAGCAATTACTGTACTAGACATTTCAGATAAATAAATCTGAACACTGGAAAACTGTAATACTGTTCAAAGTATCTATCAAAAATACCTCAATTTATTTTGATATTCATGGATTTTTTTGTTATTGATCTCATGTATATTTTTAATGGTAATAATGATGTTACAGGGAGCTCTGGTGACAGTGTGGCAAGAAGCTGCACAGCAGTCTCGAAGGCATGCGGTTTGAATCCACCAGCTGCTCTGTGACAATCTCCTGTTCGATTAACTGCCTCTGAACCCTCCAGAGGGTCAGTATGGGTTGGTTCCAACTCAACAGTACACAACAACAATAATGATGTTACATTTATAACTTTTCTGAGCTAGAAATGAAAGGAACAGAAATAAAAAAAATAAGACTGACAGTTACCTTGATTAAACAAAACTTGCATCTTCTAAAAAAGCTTAACTTTCTCCCAATATACTTCCCTTTATGAAGACTTTTTCCACTATTAACAATACAGACAAAACGTCACCCATGCCAACGTAGGATCCTACCCCTTCTTGGAATCAACAACAATGCTAACTGCTTATTTTGAAATTACTACTAAAAACATTTAAAATAAGTGAGTAATTAAAACCACTAGCGAGAACAGAAGAGTGCTGTTATGTGCCATCAAGTCAGAACTGACTCAGAGCCGACCCTCCATAGGTGGTCAGAGGCTGTAAATTGCACAGGAGCAGGCTGTCCATTTTTCTCCCTTGGAGCAGCTGGCAAATTTCAATCTCCTGCCTTTGGATTGACAGCACAACTCCTTACGAAAGGCCAGAAAAGAAGATAGCTGGGACAAATATCATTAATTATTTTTTTAAGGAATTTTTAAATGTACCTACAAGGAAGCATGTTCAAACTAAGAAAATAAGGACTTTTAAAGCAAAAACTTTTCTATAAAAATTATTTAAATGTGACTAGGCATGATAGAAAGAGAATTGATGCCTTGATGCTGTGGTGCTGGAGAAGAGTGTTGAATATACCATGGAATGCTGGGACAACAAACAGGTTAGTCCTGGAGAGGCTGAAACCAGGTTGCTCCTTGGAGGCAAGGATTCTGAAGCTTCATCTGACATACTTTGGGTATGTTGCAAGGAGGGACCATTCCTTGGAGAGGGACATCTTGTTTGGGAGAGTGGAGGAACAGTGCAGGAGAGGAAGACCCTCCCTGAGATGGATCGATTCAGTGATGGGAGTAATGGGACCATGACATTGGCACAGGACAGAGCAGGGTTTAGGGCTGTTGTACATAGGGTGGCTATGAGTCGCAAGTGACTCGACAGCACATAACAACATGATAAATATCTACAGAGAGACAGAAATATTTTAAATAGCATCAAATAATTTTAAAATAAGAAGCTGTTCTATTTTTATGTCAACAAAGGCACAATAACAATCCACTGGAAAGAGTAGCATGAGATCACCAGGATGGCTAAAAGTTAAAATCATTTTCCATTCTATTTCCTTTTGCTGAACACTGGACTCTTACTTTAGCTCTCCATGAGCAATACTGTGTTCTTGGTTGCATTTTTATTATTTTTCACAGTAGAGATGATGTTACATATGTAACTTGCCTGAGTGAGAAATGAAAGGAAGAGAGCCAAAGGGATCTTCTGGAGGATGGTTAAGTGGAGCGGGAAGTGGGTCTACATTCTTATCTGGGGATGCTCTCTCCTTGAGCCTGTCTGCAAAAATAAGATGAAACAAACAGAAAATAAAATAAAACAAAAGGTAATCTTTAAACTTAAAAGTGAAATATACAAGTGAAAAACAAAGTAGCCTTTTTGAAGAATATACTCTTAGGAGGTATCCTAATATGTATTAATATGTTTTAATATGTATGTATTGCTACATAATAAATTTAATGGTATAATTTCAGTCCTAAGGTCATAAAATAAATAAAACTTACTCAACAAATGACTTTTAAATACGTTACTTCTTTTAAATACCAATTGTCTTCAACTTGTAACAGACTAAAGCTAAAGACCAGCTTATTAACTAGTTATATTTGCCAGATTTTCTCCAAAAATGCATATAAAATATTACAAAGTGTTCAATTATTCATAAAGTAGGTAAATCCTATATAAAGAGTAATTTAAAAAATCTTAAAAAATAAAAACTAAAACTGAAAAAGTAATTAGCTATATAATGTATATTTTATCCTATTTCTAATTATCAAACTTTTCTTTTAGATTAAAAGCCCAAGTGACAGAGTTAATGCATTCATTCAAAAAAATTATTTCCACACTGTTCTAGGCACTCAGACAGAACACCTAACAACACAGATGATGGCCTTCATGGAGTTCATATCCTAGCACGAGAAAACAGTGACCTATAAGCACGCAATGAAATGTATACTGACAGAAAACAATGTTAGCTGCCACAGAGTAAGTCCAATAAACTTTTGTGGTGGGTAGTGACAATTAAACCTTAAGAAGTCAGAGAATCACTCTCAAAGATAAAGAATATCTATGTTGTTGTAGACTGTTGAGTCAGAATTGACTCATAGCTGACCTTCTTAGCAAGTTTTTAAAGGCAGTAATTGCAAGGATGTACTTCTTCCATGGAGCAGCTGGTAGACTGAAAGCACATGTCTTTGGGATTGCAGCACAGTTTACCACTATGCCACCAAAGCGCCATAAAGAATACCTACAGGGAGCTATTTTTCAGGCCCTGAATGAGTTAGTTACGGGGTTATTGAAAAAACAGGGATTATTTCATTTCAGTCTTATTTCCCACATCCTAGCATTCAAAATGGTAAGGATAAAAGCAGAGGAGTAGGAGATGAAAGGGAAAATGGAAATGACTGCCATTCCCCAATATATCACTGATGGCCTCTATAAATCAATTTCAAGAATATTTAATAAGATAAAGTACATGGAGACTTGGGTCTGAACTGGACACCCTGGATAATGCAAACAGTTTAAGCATGATCTGGGGAAAGCTGCTGTCAAGGACCTCTCCAAAGTGCTAAAGAGCAACTATGTCAGTCTGGAGACTAAGGTACACCCAATTCAGGCCATGGTCTTCACAATTACTTGCTATGCATGAGAGAGCTGGACAAGGACTAGAGCTGACAGAAGAATAATTGTTGTGATGCTAGAGAAGTGAACATACCATAGACTGCCATGAGAACAAACAGGTTTATCCTTGAGAGGGTGAAACCAAGCTGCTCCTTGGAGGCTAGGATTTTGAAGCTTGGCCTCACAAACTTTGGACATTTTGCTTGGACCAGTCCCTGGAAAAGGACATCATGCTCAGAAAAATGGAGGGACAGTGAAGAAGAGGAAAACACCAGATGAGAGAGATTGACACAGTAACTGGAGTAATCTGGGTGGGTGTGTTGGAGACAGTGAGACTGGCTCAGAACAGAGCAAGGTTCAGAGTGATTGTACATGAGGTCATTATGCAACTCGATGGCACATAACAACAACTAACAGAAAGGATGGTGGTTCAGGTTCACCCTGAAATACACTTCAGAAGAAAGGCCTGGTGATCTCCTTCTCAAAAGCAGCCACTGAAAATCCAAAGACTAGCTTTATTCTGACACACACAGAAGCCATGAATCAGAACTGACTCAATAGCAACTGGTCCTAGCTAGATCTGAATTGGGCCTGTTTTCCCTTCCCAACAAATCTATACCCGTAAATACCAAGATAGTTCTACAAAATTTGATTCTCTGGGTTCTACCAAAGGCCTAACTAATCAATTATCTAGGGAACCTGCAGTTTAACATTTCTCCCAAGCTTACATTACTACTGTACCAATAAGAGTATATAAAAAAAACTGTTTATTAAGTTTCCAGTTTATAAAACTGGGAAGTTATCATTTTGGTTAATTAAATCCTTCCACACTAGTATAAAGAGCCTTGGTAAGGCTGCTGAAAGGTCAGCGGTTTGAATCCTTGTTCTGTGAGAGAGAGGTAAGGCCATTTCCTCACATTAAGATTCATAGTCTCAGAAACTTGATGGAAGGCAGCATGAACCAGAACTGCCTCACTGGCAGTGGGGATGTTTTGTACTTTTGCACTGGAATTATTATCATCACCCACTTACGATGAGTTTGTGACAAATGTCTAAATAACACCATGAAGTTATACCAAGTAAACAAATCTACTGCAAAGCCAGAGAGGCTGATGTTAAGCCCAACTCCAAGGACCTTGCACCCTGTTTCCAAGGCTGCAAATCTTTGTCCTGAGGAGCGTCTGGTGGTTTCAAACTGTTTATCTTTCAGTCAGCAGCCAGACACATATGCACTACTATTCTATCAGAGCCTCTAAGAGAACAAATGGCATATTTTAACTGGACTCCTCATAACTAAACTAAAGGAGATAAGTTCTATGCAAAATTATCCAATTATTTCAAAACATGAATCAGTAAATTTAATATGAGTTCTGTTTACACTGTTCCTAAAACACAGCATCAATTTTCAGTAAAGGACTTAAAAAAAAAAAAACACCAAAAAAACCCAAAACACCCCACCATTATTTAGATTTCCACAGAGAGCTGGACAATGACTAGGGATAATAAAAAGAGAATTTATGTCTTTGAGCTGTGGTGCTGGAGAAGAGTACCGAATACACCATGGACTGCTAGGAGAACAAACAGATTCATACTAGAGAAGGTAAAACCAGGCTGCTTCTTGGAGGAAAGAATTCTAAGGCTTTATCTGACATACTTTGGGCATGTTGCCAGGAGGGACAACTCCTTGGAAAAAGACATCATGCTTGGAAAGGTGGAGGGACAGAGAAAGAGAGGAAGACCCTTAATGAGATGGATTGATTCAGTGACAGGGGTAATGAGGGTAGGTGTGTCAGAGATAGTAAAGTTGGCACAGGACAGAGCAGGTCTCAGGGCTACTGTACATAGGGTTGCTATGAGCAAGCAACTCAATGGAACATAACAACAACATGATAATCTGATCCCCCAAATAACCACTTATAATAATCTTTTAAATTATTGATTTTTCTATAAATGTAACTAGTAAAATGATACAGAAAGTTGTTTTTTTCAATAGAGTGACCTATAAAATGGATTTAATTGATATTTTCCCATAATTGGTTTCCTTTAAAAGCTTCAGCTTAAATTTGTCCAATATAAGAAACTTACCTCATGCTCCCTAGCCAAAAGGATTTTTCTGCACAGTATCCTTTCAAGAATTTTAACTGATAACAGTTGGCAAAAATACAAGGTTTTTAAATCTTAGGATCAAACTACATTTTATAATTGCTGTTGTTGTTATGTGCCATTGATTCAAAACTGATTCATAGCTCACCCTCCAAGGATTTTCAGAGTCAGAAAATTACACAGGAGGAAATAAGATCATCAGAAAATTAAACACACCTTTTAATTTTTACATTAAAAAACCAATTTGGAAGATTCTATAAATAGATTCACACAACGTTAATTTACATACAGTTTAAAAGTTCTAAAGTGTATCATAGTGGCAAGATGTTATGTACTGACAACCTGGAAAAGACTCAAAGCTGATCCTCTCCAGTGGGTTTTCAGAGGTAAGAAATCACAAGGAAGGAGACTGCCCACCTCTCTCCTGCAGAGCAGACAGTGGATTCACACTGTGAACTTTTGGGTTAGCAGTGCAACCCATACTACTAAGCCACTAGAACTCTCTGAAGGAACAGCATAGGTCTAAGGTGAGAGCTAGTGTTTTAGAAAGAGCTAATATTTTAACAATGGGTGGAACATATCAGAAATTATAAGGATGTAACAGAATAGGGCAAGGCTTAGATCTCTTGTTCATAGGGTTGCTCTGAGTTGAACATGACAAGATGCCATCGAATAACAATAACAGATTTTTATAAACATGTCATTCTCTTGTTTTATATAAGTAAGCAATATTTTGTTGTTGTTGTTGTTGTTGTTATGTACCTGTAAGTCAACTGCAACTCATAGCAACACCATGCACAATAGTTTTGAACCCTGCTTTATTCTAGACCATTCTGTCTCTGACACACCTACCGTCATTAACCCAGATTCTGTATTAGTTCATCTCATCTGGGCTCTTCCTCTCATGGGCTGTTCTTCCACCCTTCCAAAGATGATGTCCTTCTCCAAGGACTGGTCCCTCCTGGCGGCATGCCCAAAATATGTGGGTATTCAGATAGAATTTTAAGTGAGCTCTGGTGAAAGGCAGTTCAAATCCACCAGCGGCTCAATGGGAGAACGAGAATATCTATTCCCTAGTGATTTACTGCTTCTGAAAACCAGCTCAAAGGTCAACTCTGAGTCAGCATGCACATAAAAAACAATTAACAATGTAATTTAAACAAAATAAATACATTTACGGGCCATGAGCAAACCCCTTTTCATTTTAAGTACTGCTTTTAATTAGCATACAATGATAAAATCTTTTAAAGCAGGGGCAAGTTAAAACTATCCCCCAAATAAACACTGTTATTGTAATAGTGTAATAAGCTATGACAGTTAGATATAAAAAAGCGCACATGATAATCTTGATGTTTTGGTAAAAGACAAAGAAAAAGAAAATTTAAGCTTAAACATGTGTTTAAAGACACTGCGATAAAATTTATATTTTAATAATGATTCATTTTCACTTAGTGTTTTAGTCTTACATAGTAACAGGTTATAACAAACCAAAAAACCCCTTTGATCCTAGTAATTATTTATTCAGTTACACCAATAAGAAGACTCTAGTTTGTTATAGG